CTCGCGGGGATGGTCTGTCACCGACGGCGTCGATACGTCGCGTCACTCGCCTCTAGCGATACGTAAAATAGGGTCCAATGGCACCTGGCAGCGTTGCATACGTGAGGTAGCACTTTTGTTAGCCCCAGCCCTACTAGAACGCAGCGGTTCAGACAGATAAGGACATAGGATGCACGTGAATCAACGCAAAGTCGATTTACGTTGAGCGCCCTCTTACTCGATCCTGTCGAGCTCCATTTTCGACCCTCACGCATGGTTGAAGCAAGCGGGCGAAACGCTGAGCGGGTGCCGTTGTTCGTTGTCGCCTGGCTGAGCTCACGTGCCGTTGGCAGCACCGACCAATCCAACAACGTTCGAACAAGCGGGTTTTTCGAAGTGGAACACGAGCGCCACGACCACACACAGCGCAGGCCACATTCTCATGCACGTAAAAGCAACAACGTCCTCGCGCCTCTCCGAGACGGACCAGGACTCGGATGAAGAGCGCTCGCGCAGTACCAACCTTGCAGAGCTCCTTTGCCGCGGCAAACACAATGTCGTGCTCACTCACCTTGAGCAAGTCATCCTCGACCGCGACGCGCTCATGGTCGAGTATGAGGTGCCTCCAAGCACCATGCCACAGCAGGTCTTAGGTGGGTGTAGGGCCAACCACTCTTGCACTGGGCGGTTGCTAACGGGCATGACGACGTTATCGCGCAATGGCTTGCGCGCCCCGAGCTCGCACTTGACTGTGATGTGCGATGTCGGATGCATACAAGAGCACGCATGTGACCCACGATATTAGACTCAAATGCGGCTCGCGCTCACAGCGATCAAGCGGTATCGACTGTCGATCCTAAAGCTACTCGTGGTGGCAACTCCTGCCGTGCTGACAACGCCCGCGGTACGTCATATTCGTCAGCTTCACACCGCATAAGGTGCATGGCATTAGCGGCACCTCGACGACGACGAGTTTCTTGACGTCGTTCAAGGAGACTCGCTTGCGCATGTGGCGGCCCGCGTGCGCGCCAACACGGAGCTCTCGTGGCTTGTCGCACACTACCCTTCGTTCTTGGCGGCGCAGAATCAAGTACCACGACCTTGGTACACGATCGCAGCACACCGGGTGGTGCTAGGCAGGGGCGACGCCGCTCCTTGTTGCGTGCGGCGCGCAAAACATGGGCGGTGCACTGCTGCTCGTGTCCGCGGGCGCCGATGTCCACGTTGTCGACAACGTACGCCAACAACAAACAGATCATGGGTACAATATCGTCGTTGGCTTGTAGGACGGCAACACGGTGCTGCATGCGGCGATTGCCTCGATGGACCCAAAGTTGGACGACCATGTGGCCTTTGTGTCGCGGCTCCTCGTGCGCTGCTATAGCGTTTCGCTGGCCATTCGAAACGCGGTGCGAACTCTCTGCGCGACGAAAGTGGAGACTATTGTCTTATAGGACGGTTTGTGCGCGTCCGAGTACGCGGACGAGAGCGACGACATGTTGACGTTGCTGGAGAAAGAGACCGAGTTACAGACCTCGTACCCACTTCACTGCATTGCTCGTTGTAACGACGCCAGTGCGTTTCAAACATGGCTCTCCACGATGCTTGGGCCCGGAGACAACGACAAAAAAGGCCAAGTCGACGCGATAGCAACGGCGCTGTCTGTCCCGGACATGGTAGTTGCCACGACAATATTGTACCGACGGGATTTTGAAATTCGAAATAGGACGGCAAGACGGTCGCCATGCACGCCGTCGAAGCCATCGATAGCACTGCACCGGTTCAAGTCGCGGACCTACTCTTGCGCTATTGCACGCGGCATATCTTGACGCTACAAGACATGGTATCGCGGGCGTCCGACTTGCCGAGCGTTATTTTGGTGCCTGTAGAAAGAACGTACCGTCATGGAATGCCTCTTGGAGAAGGACCTGGTCTGCACCGAGAACCTCGACGGCGCCACCAACGAAGCGGCGCTCAAGACACTGCAACTGCTCATACACATCAAGCGACTACCGCTCGACTATACGCGAAATGTACTCGTTTACAGATCGAAACATCCACCCGATTCGCTTTGCGTAGACCAAGGTACCGCAGCAAGGCGCGCCACCGCGAACGTGCGCGGGCATCTGCCTCTCGGCGCGCAGGGCAAGCGACGCCAACCTCGCACGCCTCGCCGCCGAGAAGAGGTGGGTCGAACTGCAGCGCCAGCTCGACGCCACTTCCGACATGGCGACAATCAACGACTTTGATGCGCACGTACGGCCCACCGCGATCGAATAGTACCTCCTGGAAACCTACTAGGGACGTACCGCACTGCACTACGTCTGCGCGTATGGCCACGACGGCCTCTTGGCGCACCTGCTGCTGCAGACCAAGCTCGACATTGCGATCAAGACGCGGCTTGTAGGTCCCCCATTTTGATGGCTTGTCGAGCTGTGTCGTAGACGGACCAATCGGCGCTCTTTCTTGCCTTCCTCGCCGACCATGCGGCGTGCGTACGTCTTCTTCTCCAAGCCGGTGCGCACCACGAACTCGAAGCGACCTTGTTTCCGGTACAACCACTTGTGGAGCGGTCGCTCGACCGTTGAGAGATAGGCTCAGATCGAGCAGCTCCGTCAAGAGGCGGTGGCTAATATGTATGCAAGCCAAGTACTGCGATGCGACAGCTGGAACCTGGAGCGCACATGCCCCGAATACCATCGTGTACGCCTCTTGAGCGTGAACGACGCAGAGCAATGCCTGCAGGTATTTAGTCGACGCGGCTTCCACGGACAAGCAGTGTCTGTAGGCGAAAAAGACAGCGCTGCACATTGCGACTGAGAAACAACTGCCCACATCCATCGTCGAGCAGCTTTTGGCCACCAAGCGCAGTGACGTGAACGCGCAGTCGACGGCAAGATGGATGCAATATGGCAGTCGTCTTCATGCCTGTCGCTGTAGGAAGGAACGTCGGCGCTCATGCTGGCGGCTGCGCACGGCAACATGACGCACCTCGCGTTGCTCTTACGGCATGGCGCCGAACTCGATCTTGTGGATACGGTACGATAGCTAAAGACTCTTGAGTCTCCACATTGGGGACACTGTGGTAGAACGACTCTACAGCGGTACTTCACGCCGCGGTGCATGGCCATTTGGACGTTGTCGAGCTGCTATTGGTGCGCCGCGCCGACCTCGATCCCAAGCAGGTACGTCTTGGTGTACACCTAACCCTACCTTGAAACGTAGGATGGTCGCCCGATCGTCGAGAGACTGCGCGCGATTCTACGGGGGACACTCAATGACGAGCATACCCCGATTCTGCAGCTTCTCGAGAAGGAAGAGCGAGCACGAGACAATTCGCAAGAGTTTCGGGACAAGCGCGCTTTGGCGATGATTACGAAAACAACCGACGACGTCTTTGCAGATGACAACTTTTCGCAAGCCATTCGCTGCAACACGACGCTGGGTCCGACCTTTCTCGATGATTGCGTGAGTCTCAGTCGCCACGAAGCCACGTTTTCAAACGTATATTATACCATTTGTTGACGTTTTGGCTCATGCCCCGCTACTTGTGTAGCTTCTCCTTGTCTACGGCAAGAGTGTGCAAGAGAGCCCGCTCCGCGCGGTCCTTCAGTTAAATCTGTCGGACCCGGACGCAACCTTTGCGACGCAGCAAGCGTGTCTCGAGCATCCAGCTTTTCATCGCGTCCTCGAGATCAAGTGGATCCTCTTTGGCCGGCGGCTCTACCTCCAGCAGCTGCTCATGAACCTACTCTTGCTGGTGGCCATGACTACATCGTCCATTCTTCCCAACGACGAGTTGCCACCGCCGATCGTCTACAACATGGGTATTTCAACCCTGATATTTGTGGCCGTCGGATTGCTGGTCGTTCAATGCCTTCGCCCTCAGGTCCTTGCGGCGTATGCTCGGCTCAGCGACAACAAGTCTCTCTTTGATGGAGGTCTCGTCCTACTCGCTGTCGTCGGGACCGTCTTGCTGGTCGTACCCGTGCTTTACGCCAGCCAAGAACTGCGCATCGTCGACTGGTTCACACCCTGCAACAACCTCGTCTTGGCTCTCTCGACGCTCTACTTTCTCCATATTGAGCTTCAGGAAATGCGCGTAAGCATGGACGCCTACCTCTCGTCGACGATGAACCGCGTGCAACTGATGAACTACACCGTCATCTTGTGTGTCTTTGTTCCGATTCAAGTCGGCTGGATCAGTGTCAGTGACGACGTCCAGGTCGGACTCGGCGCCGTCCTCACACTCGGTCTCTGGGTACTGTCGCTTCAGTTTCTAGAGGTGATCTCGTCGGCCAGCTACCTCTTGCCCATGATGTCGGACCTCTTGAGCGACATTTGGAACTTCTTCATTCTCTTTGGCGTCTTCCAACTCGGCTTGACGCTGACCTTCTACCAGCTCTTTCGAGGCCACGGCGACGACGCCTTTGGTAGTCTTGGCCAGTCGTTCATGACGACCTACTTTGTGGCATTTGGTCAAGTGCCTCTGGACTCGCTCAGCGTCTTTTCTGCCTCTGACAACTCGAGTTCGAGTCAAGCGGCCATGTACACGGGTGTCGCTCTTCTCATGATGCTGCACTCGGCGATCGTGGTCGTCGTCTTACTCAACGTCTTGCTGGCGTTGATGAACCAGACAGTCACGGGGGGTCTCGAGAAGGCCAAAACTCGAGCGTTGATGAGCTATGCGCAGTGCATCTTGCGGCTCGAAGGCGCCATGCACCTCGACAACGCCGAGACGACGGCGCTCACGCACGTCAAGGACGCATCTGGGAAGCTTGTGCTGCATCCGATCTTCTCCGAGACTGTCCCCCGGGTCAACCTCGTGCTGACACCAGACCAAGTCGAGACGTTGCAGCGCACGGGGGCAAGTCGCATGGCCTGGCTCGACCAGATGCGGCATCTGGACAAGGTCGTCAAGGACCAGATCGGGTTCGTGGTCGATGGCCTCGATCACGTCAGTCATTTTACGGATCTCAACGTCCACGAAATCTTTGCGCGCGAATTTGAGTTGCTGGCGACTGCTCAACAGCAGCTGTTGGACGCGATCGAGATGGCACGACGCAGCCGCGGCTACTTCAAGAAGGAGATCCTCGCCAAGCTCGAGAAGCAAACGACAAAGAAACTTCGGGAGCTCTCGATGCAGCTGGTAGATGCGTGGACAAAGGACGGGTTTGAGCCCTCCGACGACCATGACAAGTGCGCGATGCTCTACCAGATCAACCAGCGGACGACATTCGAGGCGGTGGTCAACAAGACAGTGAGCACGATCGCAGCGGCGGTGTCGGATGCCGCTACGAGGAGCTTACCGGCTGTCGACACGGAGAAGGAGGACCTCCGGCGTGATCTCTCGCAACTGCAGTCGTCGATGGAAGCAATGGCCAAGCAAATGGAAACCATGCTGGCGCAGCACGCAGCCATGATGACGCAACAGGACACGATGCTGACTCACCAAGACGCAATGCAAGCACAACAACGGGAGCTGCTCTCGCTTCTGACCAACACCGAGTCCCGCAGCACGTCCCCCACTGCGTCCATACAACGCGTCATGAGCATCTAGTATCCGAATATAATTTGTGTATAGCTCCTGGCAGTACCCACGTCCTATGCTGTTAAACATACAAGAGGCTACTTGTGGTCTATATCCTGGCAACAAGGTGCCGGCGCTAGCGACGGTAATGCCGCGTGGAGCAGGACGCGCTACGCCTCGAGCTGGTCGGACGGCGCGAGGTAATGGCCAAAGACGCGGAGGCGGCGAATGGAATCGATGACGCAGCAGATGAAGTCGATGGCCAAGCAGCTCGAAGCGGTCCTCCTGCTCCTCAGCTGCCCCGAGCCGACGCAAATACAACCCTTGCCACCGACCACCATGCTGCGCCGCATCACTCGCCTCTAGTGTGCTATAGGACAAAGGTTGCTCCAATGTAGCGAGTCGTCCAGGAGTTGCGAGTGCGCTGGTGCAAGCACCAACTTGAATATTTGATACTTGAAACCTTCCATACAAAACGCCTCGCCACAGCAGCAGGCAACCGCCTATGCTGGGAGAAGTTATCAGATCTGGGTCGAGCGTGTCAGATCTTAGAGCCATCATGACTGGACTCGCAGCACAAGCACATGCAGGCTGGCGCCAGAATACGCGCTCGTGGTGAAATGGACAGCTGCAATGCACAGGGAGAATCAAATACTGCATTACACAACGATATAGTGTGAGATAAATAAGAACACGGTGGACGCTACGATAAGACGTCGTCGTCAGTGGTGCCCGTTGCCCATGAAGAAGTGCATGTTGCTCGTCCGATCGGGCGTGAAGCGCGTCTTGAGTACATACGGGACGACCTCGCTCATGGGCACGACGAGGTTGAGGTCGGCGATGTGACAGCTCGGCGCGTCTCGAAAGAAGAAATCCTTAAACAGATGCATGTGTGTCTTGGACTTGGCAGGTTTCTTGCCATTCGCACGCAGGACGTCGTGCTCGACCATGTAGCGCTCTTTGGTCACGTTGGAGATGAGAATTTGGCCGCCAAGGCCTGCGTCGCCGACTTCGCGCGCCACGAGCTCGTTCAAGCCCGAGTACGTCATCTTGCCGGTCGTTGGGTGAATGCTGTGGATCATCTCGCCGTCGCCAAGGTGGACCGCCATGCGCACGCGGAGCCCGCGAAAGATGAGCCGCCCAAAGATATCGGTGACCGACTTCGCACTGCGGTATTCCTCGAGCTCCTTGGGCCACGGCAGCGCCATGAGCGCTCTCTGAACGCGAATGCACCACGAGACCGCGTCCGAGACGTTGTGAAACGCGAGCTCGAACGCGTCGCCGGCCGTCGTGATCTCGTAGCCATTGTAGCTTGCCACGTGCTGCCGAATGCAATCTACGACATTGCAGTTTGAGGATCCCGAGGATACAGTGTGAATGGCAGTACCATCGTGGAGCGACTGGGCTTCGGTCATCGCATTCGGGTTCCGGGACCAGAGATACGTCGAGCTCTCAATGTCCGTGTTGACAAAGACGGGCTCAAAGACGGGCGGCTGCGTCGGGTCGTGCTCGTCGCCCGACTCGAGGTCGCTGTGCCGATTGCCCGAGTGCAAAAGCTGCTCGTGCATGTCGCGCGGCAGCACCGGGCGCAAGATGCGGATGCAGCAGAGGACGCTGCCGCCCATGCTGAACGCGTTGAAGAAGCCGCCCGTGTAGTAAATGCTGTTGGTCACGTAAAAGATCTCGGCGCCGGATGCGCCAAACGGCTCCTTCACGTCCCACTGCAGCGCCAAGTCGTAGCCGAGCGTCACGATGAGCGACGGGAGGATCGTGAGCGTATAGACCGTCAATAGCACCTTGATGCGGTACGCAATGTGGTCGGCGGCCGGGTCGATAAAGCCATGGCGCTTGCGGTTGAGCCGGTAGATCTGCACGATCGTGTAGAGGAGGTAGAGCATGGCAACGGACGCGCCAGCCGTGATGAGGTATGTGCTAATGCGCAGCGCGCGCTCGACCGCGCTGTCGTCGCCCGACACGACGCAGCCAACGTAGACGGTGATGCACGCAAAGAACGGGCCGTAGACCGCTCGCTTGTAGTACGTGATTTGCTGGCGTTCGCGCAGCTCGGAGCGGCTAATGGCCTTGGTCACGAGCCGGCGCATCTCGTACGCCGAGAGCACCATCCACGCAGACGTGAGCACCATGAAGAGGTCGCCGCCGATCGTGACAAAGCCTTCCAGCACGCGGTTCGAGTCCGTGTACGTGCGGTCACCGGCATTCGTCGATGGCACGCGGCCATAGCCGAGGCCAATCGCATAGAGCACGAGGCGAAAGCCGTTCCAGAAGCTGTCGCTAAAGAAGATCGAGTACGTGACGAACTGGACCGCCGAGTTGCGCGTGTAGCGGGCCTCGAAGGCCGCGAAGATGGTCGCCACGGACGTCAGCAGCGAGATGCTGAGGATCACGACGTACGTGACCATCTTGCTCTCGTCGTCCGTCATGCCAGCCAGGTCCACGCCGGTGCGAAAATAAATAGAAATACAAGCCCGTACCACCGAGCTTCGAAAATCGAAGCGACATGCAATTCAATTCGTTTCACGCATCTGCATACAAAATGCAAGTCATAATAAAGATAAGGTATTGTATGTTTTTAGTGGACCCCCTCTTCTTTTTTTAAAGAGGTCCCTCGTGTATCTATGCTCATGTTCCGGGAACGATCGCGATGTGGTTCTCAGTTCAGCGCACACTGGTTCCGACGCAAATGAGAGCTGCACCCAAGTACTATGGGGCTGTCGACAACGCATACGATATTATGTGTCCCTCGCACTTGGCCATCAGAGCCAAGGCGGCAGGTACATGTAGGTGGACAGTGCAATTTATTTTTTTGGCGGCAAGTGTGCAACCGGCCGCTGTCGCTGGCTCGAAGTGGACTCGATCGACGAGGCGTCGCACACACACGGGCGCTGGCCAGTGCTTTCTTGGAAGCGCCAGCGCAACGCACTGTACTGATGTTTGGTTTACGATCTCCGTTGCCCAGACATGTGACACACGCCCCATGTGTCGGAACCTTTTATTTACCCACCCCCTACTTGTCGATGGGGGGCCCGGGGCACCACCCTCACTTTCGGTGGCCGCAACAACGACACGACGAGCAGACCAGCATGGCGAGCCCCGACGACGTCCGCGAGCTCGCGCGCTACTTGAGCGAGAACGTCGCCGTGTACGTGGGCATGGAGCTCCAAGGTAGACGTACATCATGGAGGCTGGTGGCGAATTAGGCGCGCGTGCTAGGCTCGATGGAGCGCATGCAGCTGCTCAACAACGTGCTCGAGAAGCTTTGTGACAAGTACGATGGCATGAAGGCCGAGAGCGCCTCGATCGTCCAGTTTGCAGCGCAGATGAAGCAGAATGGTACGCGCCTCCTGCTCACATGTTGCTTCTTCACGTCGATCGAGTAGAAAAGGCCCTTGCCGGCCACATGCAGAGCATCGACGACGTTGACGAGGAGCTCACGGAGCTCGAAGACATGGTCGACCAGTTGCAGCTCTACGCCGAGCGTCTCCGTACGTATTGATGCTACTTGCATCGATCATGCTCATCGTGTCGTCCTGGACGATCGTCCGTAGACAGCAAGTTCGCTGCGATGGCTTAGCCTACACGTGCTTCGCCAACGACCCATGTAGTATGTCTGACAGTGCTGCGTTGCGTCTTGACATCTACTTCAAGCAGGCTCGCGTTGGCGGAGACCGGCATGGACGCATCGCATGCAGCGCCGAACGCCGAGCGGAGGACGTCCACATCGCAGACTTGTCAAGCTGGCTCGTCATCGATGCATCGCCACCAGCCGTGCTCGCGCAAACATGCTATTACAAGCGGTTCGAAGCAGTCGCCATACTATCGAGTCCTTGCAGCTGTGCAACATGGCGCCAGCATTGTCTGGCCACCGCCCACACCCAAGTGCCATGGAATGGTTGGGTGCATTTAGCGTTGTGGCAGCTGACCTGTAAAAATGCATATTTCGGACCTCGGCGGTTGGGCCAATCAGTCGACGCATAGAGTTTCGCGAGATCATCCGCAGGACGGGAATGCTGCGGCCGCTTCAACGGTTCGCGGGCCGCGCCTACGCGGTACGCGTCGCCGCCTGCCGCCAACCGTGTGCTCACCTCTGTCTAGTCGCACGCACATGTTGCCGCCCACGCCCACGTAGGCCAACTGTCTCATCGGCGCCATCGTTCACGCCAGCGTAGGCGCCGCCTTCAGCGTCTGCCGACGGCTGCCACGAGCGGCTGCTTGCCCTCCAGGCGCCTCTCACGCTGCCACCTCTGCCAACGTACGCAGACGCGCCGCTCGAACCAGCGTACGACGCCATACACCAGTTGCCGCATCCTGTACGCTCCATGCCTAGAACCGTCCACGCGACAGCGGTCGTGCACCCGGATGCCCGTCTCGGCGCCGGTGTCGAGATCGGTCCTTTCTGTGTCATTGGTCCCGGTACGTCTCTCGATCGAGATGCATGCGCCGCCCACCCGAACAATAGACGTCGAGCTGCACGAGCATGTTGTCGTCAAGGCTCACGTCGTCATTGATGGTCGCACTCGCATTGGTGCTCACACCGTCATCCATTCGTTTGCATCCATTGGTGGCGCGCCGCAGGTACCTCACAGACGCGCTTCTCCGCTCAGATCTTATTGTTTTCGATATATCGCAAATAGGACAAGAAGCACGTGCGGGGTCTCTCGTCGCTGGAGATTGGCCACTCGTGCATCATTCGGTAGGCGTCGCTTCGTCGCCATTGTCTCTGCAGGTAGCACTGGTAGCGAGCACGTGACCATCAACACAGGCACAAACGATGGTACGACGCGGGTTGGCGACGGCTGCTGGGTCCTCGCCTCGTCGCATATTGGCCACGACAGCTATGTCGGCGACGGCGTCGTGCTCTCGAACGCCGTCTGCCTCGCCGGCCACGTTCGCATTGACGATTTTGCGATCGTCGGCGGCCAAGTCGGGATCAAGCAGTTTGTGCACATTGGCTCGTACGTGCTTTTTGCATGGGAATACCGTGACGACGCGGCGTCATCCTTTGTAGACTCGCGATGATTGGTGGCCAGAGCGCTGTTGACGGCGACGTGCTACCGTTTGGGTAGGTTTACTACGTGGTTAAAGTGGTTTTGACTTTCATTGTGTAGGCTGGCGTTCGGGAATCGGGCCAAGCTCACAGGGATCAACCTCGTGGGCCTCCGACGACGGAATGTATGCGCTTGTTTCTTGTGTATCAAGATACTATCAAGATGCGATGATGGGACGTGTAGGTACCGCGGCTCGAAATCAAGCGGCTGCTGCAGACCTTCCGCTACATGTATGGTCTCTCGTGCCACAACGGGTTTGCACCGCCCTTGCCGTACGAAGCCACGACTTGCCTTGTTGACACACTGATACTTTGATACAGACTGCCGCCCCACGACTGCATCGTGGCCCGTGCTACTGCCGCGCGAGCGCATTTTGCGTCGACGACCGAGACCAATGTCGACATGCAGCGTCTCGAGGCCATGGTACACGCTGCGTTCTCCATCTTTGACATGACGTGGCAGCGTAGATGGCGTTTGTGTCGTCGTCGCCGGACCGCGTTCGGTCGGCACTGTGCATGCCAGCCTAAGCACGCGCCAAGACACGCCTTCTTCTTCCGACATGTTGCGCTCGTTGCAAAGCCGAGGAAGGCACATCGAGGATTGCAGCTGCATTCGGTGGGTGTCGACTGCGCTCCAATGCAGCACTTGAGTGCTTCCACTGCTTTGGCTTGAGGTTACCTTGAACCAGCGACCGATGGCCAGCGGCCGCCGTCCGCACCAGTGCGGATATCGATGGCGCGGATCACGACATTGCAAGAAGGAGGATGAGCGTGCGAGGGCCAGCGCAAGATGACGTATCTGGTGAGGTTGGCTTCCATGCTTTTCGTGGTGACGAGGGGCCATCATCGTCGAAGAGACGCTCGCCTGTGCTGGTGTGTGCGGCGGTGGTGAGAGAGAAGGGTTGTCGGGTCGGCGCGACGCAGCGAGCGTCACGGGTACATGCATTGCGCGATCATGAAGTGTCATGTGAGGCAGCACGACGCCGCAGAACGCCTTGGACTCTATGCGTCCTCGTGATGTAGGTGCGTGTGGCATGGCGCTCACGCTCATTCTTGCGGACATGCTCGTCAGTCGCTTCATTATTCGCGCGCCGTTGGGCAACGCAGATGCAGACATGACGGCCGAGACTCGGGCTCCGACTGGAGAACCCAGTGCGACTCGACAACGGTCTCTCACAGGTGTGATACCGCGACAATGAACTACGAGGCCGAGTACGACGGTCTGAGCACGGGGCACCAGTTAGCTCAGCGACTGGCCGTGACGCATCCCACGGGGAGCATGCTGCTGATGCAGCAGATGAAGGGTGTCTTCCTTGTCCACAAGGCTCGCTTGCGGATGCTGCAAATCCAGGTGCGGGAGCTTGTTGTATGTGGACATGAGAGTACTACCCTTGCGAGCTCAACCAAGCCAGGCATCACTTGTCCAAGCTCGCAACCGACGACTGTAAATCGTAC